AGTACATTTCCTCCAAATTCTCCTACCAATCCTCTTCAATAGGATGGCGGGTCTACCAAAACTATCATGTTAATGATCACCTCTGATAGTCTATTTCCTCCAAATTCTCCTACCAATCCTCTTCAAGTAGGATGGCGGGTCCATCAAAACTATCACGTTAACCGTCACCTCTGATAGTCATTTTCCTCCAAATTCCCCCACTAATCCTCTTCAAGTAGGATGGCGGGTCCACAAAACTATCACGTTAACAGTTACCTCTGATAGTCAAACTCATCAGATAATGGCCTACCAGGTGATGTGCCTCTATTCCGACTTCATGGATAGTGCCTCACTAGGTGATGTGCCTTGTCTACCTCTTTTTATTCCCCTGCTAAGTTTTAATCAAGACTGGGGGTTGGTTACTTGGAATCCACAGGATTAAGAGTAACAAATCTTTCACATCGTCAAGTTAACATTACACTTCTGACGATCATCATATTTGTCACGTTAACAATATACACCTCTGACAATCAACTTATCAATCCTTGTCAATAGGATGATAGGTCCTCGAAATTGTGCAAATCGCAATCTTCCCCAGCAAGACACTAAGTCTTCAAAATCTTGTTTAAATCTTAGTATCAAAATTCATCGCTTTTGATGATAAACTCACATAGCAATTCTCCCCAGCGAGACGCTAGTCCCTAAAATATTGTGCAAGTCACAAGTACACATTCTCTTGTCACGTTAATATCAAACACCTCTGACAAAATCAACTTATCGACTCTCGTCAATAGAGCGATAGGTCCTCAAAGTTGCTCCCATCGCAACACAATCCTGTCACGTTAACACTCTCATCGCAACATAAATTTCTGTCATGTTAATATCACACCTCTGACAAAATCAACTTATTAATCCTCTTCAATAGGATGATAAGTCCTCAAAGTTGCTCTGATCGCAACACTTCCAACTTATCGACTCTCCTCAATAGAGCGATAGGTCCTCAAAGTTGCTCTGATCGCAACATCTTCTTGTCACGTTAATATCACACCTCTGATGACACAATCAACTTATCGACTCTCTTCAAATAGAGCGATAGGTCCTCAAAGTTGCCCTGATCGCAACACAAATCCTGTCACGTTAACACTAAACCTCTGACAACCCACTTATCAATCCTCATCAATAGGATGATAAGTCCACAAAGTTGCTCCAATCGCAACATAAATCCTGTCACGTTAACACTAAACCTCTGACAACCCACTTATCAATCCTCATCAATAGGATGATAAGTCCACAAAGTTGCTCCGATCGCAACATTCTCTTGTCACGTTAATATCAAACACCTCTGACAAAATCAACTTATCGACTCTCGTCAATAGAGCGATAGGTCCTCAAAGTTGCTCCGATCGCAACACTTTCCACTTATCGACTCTCATCAACGGAGCGATAGGTCCATAAAAATACTGTTAGGTTAACATCACACCTCTAACAGTCAAACCCCCCAATGAACTTGTTAATCCTTTTTCAACAAGATTAGCAAGTTGTCATTATAAAATCCCCAACGGATTAAATATTTTCTGGAATTATCCTAGTGATAATAAAGAAAATTTCTGAATTTCACTCTAAGTGAAAATTCATGCCAAGTTAATATTACACCTCTGGCGCTTCCAACTTTCTTTCAGTGTTTCAAGTAACACAGGAAGAAATAACGACAAAGTCTACGTATTCAACATCGTAGCACCAAAATCCATGCCTTTTACGCATGGGGGACTTTATCTCGATCCCTAATTAGAGATAAGCCTACGCCTAACACGCGTTGCCGGTTAGTCTTTTCCCGTGAAAATGACAAAGTCTATGTATTCAAAATCATAGCATCAAGTCTAAGAGGGTTCATTCTCTTAGCACAACGTTACATGTGGAACGGACTTAGACAATCCACATGCTAGCCCGACTCAAACGGTAGTCGGTAAAGGCTTATCAAATCCGTTGATGGCTAAGGGTTTGCCAAAAATCCTATGCATGTTTGCAGGCCCATCAGCTTAATGGATGTGAGCCGAGACTTAAAACAGATGAGCCAAAGACAAGTCTCAAAGACTTAGTCAAAAATGCACGGAAGCCACTTCCATGTCTTAAGTCATTAAAAACGCTAAGGTCAGACCCGCGTTACAAAAATCATGACGCTGAGGTCACACCCGGGTTTCAAATTCAAAACGCCGAAGTCAGCCTCGCGTCTCAAATTCAAAACGCAGGGGTCCACCCCCGTATTCCAGAAGCAGGATTATGACGCATACCTTCACAAAGGTCCTACGTGGCAAATCCCTTCAACCAAGATGCCTTCGAAGCAAGTGCAGAGAACAAATCCTTTACCACAAGGAATCAACAGCTCCAAGATCAGAGTTGAGATCCAAAGTATTCCGAAAATTCGTCCCAGTCAAACGCGAACTTTCGAAAACTTTGGAGGGGGTTCTGTAGGCTGTCTAAAAATCACAATAGATAGCTGATCCCCATCAAACACCGATGATGGAAGTTACAATCTGACGACTTCCAGAAGGCTATAATTTGAAGACTTTCACGTAGATCGCTGAAGGTTACAATCTGACGACCTTCACGACAACCGATGAGAGCTCTAGTTTAACAGCCTTCACCATCAACATCGAGAGTTACAATCTGACGACTCTTGCATATCAAAGAGCTAAAGTAAAGATTACGAAATGACGATCTTTGCAAACGCTTCGACAGAAAGAGACTACAAATCAATGGTCTCTTCAAATCAAGACGTGGAAGTCCTCCCCGCTTACCAGCATCAAGATGCGCCGTGTTCATAGTCACGAACGCAGCTCAAATACAGCTCCAAAAGTTGCAAACGCAGCTTAAATCGCCACTGGACGCAGCTCTATTCGCTGCCCGACGCAGCTCAACATCGCTGCACAACGCAGCTCAATATCGCTGCCCAACGCAGCTCCAAGCGCTGCCCAACGCAAGCACAAACGCAGCTCCAAGCACTGCCCAACGCAACTCTATACCGCTGTCAAACGCAGCTCCATCGCTGCTCAAACGCAGCTCAAAACCGCTGCCAAACGCAGCTTTCATCCGCTGCAAACGCAGCTTCCAATCACTGCGTTCAAGCTTCCAGACACTGCGTTTGGACACAGAATTCATGCCAGAATGCAGGATCTGCGTTTGACTCGTTCAAACACGAGTTGAACGATTTCAAAACCGTTTCCCACAATCTGAGGGGATCACAACTCCACTCAGGAGTGATTTAAGGGGCGGTTACATCCCATTAGCCCCACTTAGGAGCGAATTAAGGAGGTGGTTACACCCCTTAATCCCCTATAAATAACAACAAACTCAACAGAGTTAAAGATCGGATTTTTGATAATCAGATCAGGGCTGGATCTTTCGGGTACGGTCTGTTGGAACTTCTTGGCAGCAAAAAGAGGATCCTTCATCTTTCGGTTGGAGCTTTGGAGATCAGCAACAAGATCTTCTTCATCCTTGGCTTATAACCGACTTTCGGTTAAATCAACTCGGGTTCTGTAGGTTGTCTAAAAATCACAATAGATAGTTTATCCCCCATCAAACACCGATGATGGAAGTTACAATCTGACGACTTCCAGAAGGCTACAATTTGAAGACTTTCACGTAGATCGCTGAAGGTTACAATCTGACGACCTTCACGACAACCGATGAGAGCTCTAGTTCAACAGCATTCACAATCAACATCGGGAGTTACAATCTGACGACTCTCATATTCTCAAGGAGTCAAGATGAAGATTACAAGACAATGATCTTTGCAACGCTATGACAAAAGAGATTACTTTGTGATAATCTCTTCAAGACAAGACGCGGAGGTCCTGCCCGTGTGCCAACATCAAAACGCCGGGGTCGAACCCG